GAAGTCGGGATTTTGTGGAAGAGCCACACTCAAGGGGCCAAAGAGCCGCATGTGGCTCGAGAGCCACAGTTTGCTGACCACTGACCACTACCCTAGACCAATGGTCTGTCTCTGGGGATTGGGCCCAAATATTAATCAGGTGTTTCTTATGTGCACATGTGGTGGGGAACCACTGGCTAAGGCAAACAGAAGATTCTCAAAGTTTTAATGGGTATAGATTGCGAAGCAATGTGTTCAGGTAGTTTATGAGGGTGTATTAGTATTCACATAAACTTAGTGAATGGTTTTGTTTGGGGTGAATTTGTGTGTTGAGGGGGTTAACCTCTTCTCTTGTATTCATCATCCCATTCCCTCTTGACAAATGAGAAAACTTAGGTTCAGAAATAAAAAGTAGACACCTAACTTCCTAAGCTTTATTTTTTTAACCAAAAAATAAAAGAGAAAATAAGAATTGGAACAAATGTTGGTACTTGAGGTAACAGCTTCATTTATCTTGAGGTCTCATATATATGGGAAAAATCTTTTTCTGATGTTGTTGGATAAATTAGGTGATACTGTATTCTAAGTTCCAAAAGTTAAATATTTGTCTATCTTGACTTTTGCATTTCAAGAAAGAGTAAAAATTCTTTTTCAAATTTCTGGATGTTAGTCCATAACTTTCATTATCCAGTAAGGACTTTAAGATTTGGCAGAGAAAAATGGTGACATGAGGATATGGTCATGATTTCTATTACTCTCTTCAGTGGATATTCAATGATATAGCAATTTCAGTGGCCAGAAGAAAGTTAACCTAGGGTGGTGGTTTTAAATGTCTGATCTTTTTCACTTTCTCTCTCATTCCCCAGGAAGTTGGCTGGAATGTGATGACCTAAAAGGCCCATGTTGTAAAAGGTATAAGAAATTTGAAGTTCCTGCTTCAGAGATACATATTGTTATTTGGGAAAGAAAAACAGCCCAAATGACAGATAAAGCATCTGCCTGTCTTTCACTTCAAAAGACTAATGATCAACATGCTTTCAGTGATGAGAAACAGCCACCTCCAGCATTGCGTTTTATGGGTGATGCTTCCTCAGCTGAAATACCTTCAGGAACGTACCCCCCAAATACATCAGTTACTACTAATACTCTTTCTCAGGATAAAGCTGTAGTTCATCAGCCTCATTTACTTTCAGTTCCAAAAGGTTTGATTGGCAATGATATTACACCTTTGTCACTTGAAAAAGTACAGGTTAACTCTGAAGGTTGCCTATTAGAAAATATACCTGTGGCAGAAAATGGAGTGGTCATCAAAACAAATACTTTGCAACAGCAAGAGTCACTAATGGCTTCTTTAGTCTCAGCTCCATGTAAGGAAAAGTTTACCCAAGACCAATTTGTAGACTTAAGCTTTCCTTCTCCGATTGTAAGTACAAATATGCAATCAGTACAGCCAAATTCAGAAAATACTATAATTACTAACTCTGTGACTAATATCCATGCTACTGGTCCTATACAGGGAGTAAAGTCAGTAGAAATTGAAGATAAAGTTGCCCTAGAGAAGGATGTTCCATTCAACCATTTTCTTTCACCAAAAACCGAGAAATTAAAAATAGAACAACACATTACACCTCAGGTATCTAATTTGGAGAGAAAATTTTCTCAAACCATAGCTGAGTCATCACAGAACCCATCTCTGAAAGAAAATCTGAAGAAACCATTTATGGGAAGTTGGGTTAAAGGCTTATTAAGCAAGGGTGCTTCTTTTTTGCCACCTTGTGTTTCAGCTCATAATATTAACGCTATTACTGACTTGCAGCATTCGGTTAAGGGGGCACGTAATTTTGGTGGCTATAAAACTAAAGGGGTGAAGCAGAAGGCTCACCGGGCACCCAAGAAACCTCATAGGTGTGCAAGTAAGCCTTCTCCAGCCAGTAACCTTCCACCAAGTCTTCCATCATCAGGTAGCATGGCTCCTCCACATGCTGATGTTAATGCTGACCTGGAAGTTTTGAAGAAACATGAAAATGCCTCATATGGGGTTCACCTTAACCACAGATCTGGTGGAAACGAAAATGGTGTTTCTTTAGCAAACCATGAAGACTCCGTTGAGGGTCAGATTCATAAACTTCGTCTAAAACTTCTTAAAAAACTTAAGGCAAAAAAGAAGAAATTAGCTGCTCTTATGTCTTCCCCCCTACATGGAAAACTTCCAAGTGAAAATTTAGAGCACGTTTCTCATTGTGGGTCTCCAAATGATGGCCAGTCAATAGAAGATGTGTTAAAAGAACTGCAATATCAAATTGATATTGCTGATAATAAATCTGGAAGAACCACTTTTGCTAGTGTTTCTCCATATAGTGATCAAACTCATGAAGAAATTTTAGCAGAATTATTGTCTCCTACAACTGTTTGTTCAGAACTCTCAGAAAATAGGGAGGCTGACTTTAGATACTTAGAAATGGGAGATAACCATATCCCAGCACCAGTACCTAGTGAATTAAATGGTATTCCCAATACACTCTTGAGACAGGACCATAATTATTGCAGCCCTGCCAAGAAAAATCTGTGCCAAGTTCAGCCAGACCCACTAACAAATAATGAGTGTGATAGAACATTGAACTTGGAAAGTTCCCTGAAGACTGATGTTTTTGATGAGTTTTTTTCCACTTCAGCATTAAATTCTTTAGCAAATGACACGTTAGACTTGCCTTTTTTTGATGACTATCTGTTTGAGAGTTGTTGAATGTTTATTAACTCTTTAATATTTACTATTGTCTTGGAAAAACTTATTATGTTCTTGAGTAGTGTTTATACCCTGGCCTTGTCATGAACAAAATGTAAGCAGCTGAAGGTTTTACCTTCAGTTCTGCCCATAAAACTTGTAATTTGTTTTACAAATTAAAAGGACCAGGAATCTGTTCTCCTTGTCAGTTTCATTTTGTATTTTTAAGACAATGAGGATTTCAAAACGCTACAAATGAAAAGTGTCTAGTTTCTGGCAATTAGTATAGTTTGGGTACATTAAGTTTCTACATTTCTCAGGAAAAACTAG